TAGTGAATCTTTTGTCTGTGTATTTATATGTGTTGTGTGTATGATATGAAAGAACTCTGATTAATTGGTTTTAAAATAAGAGCTTAAATAAAATATTTTGTCCAAAAAGTATAAAGTGTAATATCTTTTAGTTCATGTGACAAATAATCATTTGGAAGTAAAAACACTTTTAAAGATCATAGGGAAAATAAAAGTGTCTTCAAAATATAAAAATTTGTTCCAAATTATATAGGTCAGTTACTAGATTTACCAAATACTTTATGGTCATAAATTGGTTCTATGATTTTTAAAAATTGTTCGATTTACCTATCTTGAAGACATTAAATTATAAATAAGGCCTTAGGACATATGAAATTAGCCATACCCCCTAAATATACAAAGGTTATAAAGAAAAGAGATTTTGGCCAGCCATAGTGGCTCACGCTGGTAATCCCAGCACTTTGGGAAGTCAAGGCAGGCAAATCACCTGAGGACAGGAGTTTGAGACCAGCCTGGCCAACATGGTGAAACCCTGTCTCTACAAAAAATACATAAATTAGCCAGGTGTGGTGGCAGGTGCTGTAATCCCAGCTACTCGGTAGGCTGAGGCAGGAGAATTGGTTGAACCCAGGCGGCAGATGTTGCAGTGAGCCGAGATCACAAATGAATCTTAAAGAAAAAGAAAAGATCTTAGATAGTAAATTATTATCCTAAAACAAAATGACTTGGTTAAAAAGAGGGATGTTTAGGACAAATAAGAAAGTCTAAACATATTGTAGATGATCTGTTTAAGTCATGAAGTAATTCACTAAAGGAAATTTATGCAAAAAACATTGTATAATTTAAAGGTCATTAAGGCCTCTTAAAGATGTCACGAAATGCCACTATGACTCTTCACTGTACAACTTGCCTGCTTTACAGCTGAGTAAGGCCTGTGACACATCAAGTTAGGCATATACCCTAACTATTAATACACTGGAGTCAGACCTTATATACACTTCTGTCTGTGTCCTAGACTCCACATCTAGTACTCAATTAAAATCGCTTACTTACCAAAGTTTTCACCAAAACTAAAGGTGCTAAGAGTTAACAATGTAACACGTAATTTTGACTATGAAAAAAGTTACACGCAAGATATACAGAGAAAGTGAAATGTGTTTTTCATAAAACATAAGAAAATACGGAAATGTGGATTTTTTTCACCTAGATTAAAAGGTTAAAGGATTGTTTTAAATTAGAAAGAATAAAACTGAAGGTTTAAACAAACTGTGAAAGATTTGTTAAAATTTAATTGCAAAAGAGTTTCTGTGTGTGAACATACTGACTAAAGTTAAATGGGTATTATTCAGTTTTTCTGTAAAATGAACGTCGAGATAAAAATGACAGCTTCTCTTAAAGCACTGATTTACTCTTCTTTTTTTTGAGACGGAGTTTCACTCATGTTACCC